ATAATCTTTCTGCAGTGGCCTTCAATCTTCCTCTTAGGAAAACTAACAGAACTTGGCTTTTTTCCCCCCACGTAGCATATTAAGCAATGGATTTAGATTTAAGTGCTTCAGGTTGACCATTTTCAAATTTTAATCATGGCAAAACTGATTGCCACTGGTAAAGAAGGAAATGCAAATGATTCAGTAGAGAAAATCTGTCTAGTATTCTACTGAACCACCACCAAAAACTTCCAAATAACATAACTACAAGCTTGTAATCTTAACTTTTAAAAAACCACTAATTTATTATTCAGACATTACTCCAAGAATCAATAAATATTCACTCAGTATCTATTACATATGCCACAGCGGTACTTATACAAAGGCCACAGGTTACAAAATGGCATAAGCAGGGTGAAGAAATATTTGTGCCACGATTAAGACACAGGTTTTGCCTTCATGGTCTTATGGTATTCTTGAAGTATGGACATAATACTTTAAAGTGACAAATCATGCAATATAAAAGTATTAACAGAATTTCAGAGTGTACAAGGCCAACAGGGAAAAGTCAAAGAGATCTTCACAGACATGTGATATGAGATTGGTCTTTAAGAATGAGTAAAATCTAATAGGTTATATTAACAGAGGAGGAAACTTTAAGTGTGAGGGACAGAATGGACAAAGGTAAAGTGCCAGACCTAAGCTCAGTACACAAATATGTGAGCCTAACAATAAAATGCAAAAATGAGAATACATAAAAGAGCAGTATCCAAAATTATTGTCTCTAAAGATATCATCATTCTAGGATAAAAAGCACAATAGGAGCCAGGAGCAGTGGCTCATGGCTATAACCTGTAATCCCTTTGGGAGGCTGAACCAAGAGGACCACTGAGGCCAGTTGAAGGCTGCAGCGAGCTATGACTGTACTCCCTGCCACTCTTTTACCAAGGGATCAGATAAATGAGTATTTTTAGCCTCCTCTAGGGTACACAAGAACAGCTTGATATCCGAGATTTCTAACTATAATCTTTCCTCTAGTAACTGAAAGTAACCAGAAAATCTTTTAAAATGTCATTTATCATTTTTCCTACCAATTGATTAAACAGACTTCTAATAGAAAGTTTTTTAGCAAAGTCTAGGAAGAAATATGAAGACACCCAAAGGAGAGGGAATGAAAGCAGAATAGCTGTCTCAGTACTTCTATTTCCAAGCATTGGAGTTGAGAATTCAAAGATCTTCTGGAACTCACTAATTCAAAACAACAATACACTTAAAGCTTCTACTAATAACATCTCAGTGCTCCACAATCCACCCATTCAGAGAAGTTGTGCTCAAACTCATTATCCACTTCACAAACTATCATGTTTCCTGTGGCATTTCTTTTGCTTATATAAACATAAGCTTAGAAGGGGGGAGAAGGGGATGGGCATATACAACCAAACGAGTAAGATGTGCAACGTTTGGGGGATGGACATGCTTGAAGCTCTTACTCGAAGGGGGAGGGGGGCATGGGCAATATATGTAACCTTAACACTTGTACCCCATAATATGCTAAAATAAATAAATAAAATAAAATAAATAAATATAAGCTTAGAAAGAGATACTAAAAACTTTACTCTAATTTTAGATAATGTAAATGTAACTTTTATATACTCATAGTAAACAGCCAGTCATCAGTATGCAAAAAAGTGGCAGTGTATTTCATTAAATATATAGAAATCCTACCCTAAAACTAGAAATACTTTGATTGAAGAAGTAGAAAAAAATAATGAAAACTTTCAGTTTCACCCTAATTCTTTCCATAAGAGAAAATATGCGAAAAGGAAGCAGTGGGACCTTCAGGACAAAATAACTACGTCAACTTTCAGTTTATGATAGTAAAGGTGGAAATCACAGCAAAAAGTATTCTGTATGTTTTCAGAATGATCAGAGAAAAGGTGTAATATTTCATAGGGAAGGATAATTCCAGAGTATGGAAAGAAGCTCAATATAAAACTCTATGCAAACATTAATTAACCAAATGAGGAAATAACTAAAGAAATGTAAGCCAAAGAAGAATCGTTATTTAAAAAGAGCAAATAATCATTAATATAAAATCTTTGTATGAATCTACACAGTAATAAAAACAAAGCTAAAGACTAAGGAAACAAAACACAAATGAAATGACTGAGTTTTATTAAGATTACATCACTAGAAAGAAAAATAAGCTTGGGAGCAATCTGTTTTTGGGGGTAGGCATTAGAATAATATTAATAATAAGTGAAAGAAATTAATACTCTCCTTTGCTTCCATTTTCTCTATTAAGAGTAATGTAAATACTGGACAGGGTAAACAGGAGGAAAGAATTCTTTCATTCAAGGCCGTGCGCGGTGGCTCACGCCTGTAATCCTAGCACTCTGGGAGGCCGAGGCGGGCGGATTGCTTGAGGTCAGGAGTTCGAAACCAGCCTGAGCAAGAGCGAGACCCCGTCTCTACTATAAATAGAAATAAATTAATTGGCCAACTAATATATATAGAAAAAATTAGCCGGGCATGGTGGCGCATGCCTATAGTCCCAGCTACTTGGGAGGCTGAGGCAGAAGGATCGCTTGAACCCAGGAGTTTGAGGTTGCTGTGAGCAAGGCTGACGCCAGGGCACTCACTCTAGCATGGGCAACAAAGCGAGACTCTGTCTCAAAAAAAAAAAAAAAAATATTTTGAAAGCAGAGCTAATACAATTTGCTCCATTTTTCATGATGGAGATGAAGAAATAGACTCAAAAATGATTCCAAGGTTCTTGCCCTGGACACTCAGAAGAATGTAACTACTATTTATTAAGATGGGGAAGACTGTAGAAGCAAGGTTTTGGTTTTTTGTTGTTGTTGTTATTTATTGCTTCTTTTTGAAAGGGAGTCAGAAAAGGATCTAGAATTTATTCTAAGACATGTTAGCTTTAAGACGCTTCCTGGACATCTATTAAGTAAACTGGATATACAAGTGTTGGAAAGAAGTCTGAATTGTAGAAATAAATTAATAGTTGCCAATCATGGAATGACATAGGATGACCACCTACGTAGTGTACAAAAAAGTCCAAAGAATAAGTCCTGGGGCATTCGCCCTTTAGAAGTCAGGAAGAGCGAGGGAAGACATCAAGAAAGGGGGAATAATCAATGTTGTAAAATGCGGCTGGCAGAAGAACCTTGATTAGGTAGAGATGAAACAGGTGCAGGTACCAAAAGATCAGTATACAGAGGGACTCGTCTTGGCAGCATGGAGAGTTCATCCATTTTAACAGGGATAAGGGGAATACATAGGTTCAGATACAAGTGGATATGAAAAATTTATTTATACATCTATTTTCCTTTATTATGTAAGTTCTTTATCTTCCTATCCCTAGTGCCTAGTACAAAACAATAAGTTTGTTGGATGAAGAGATCAACTTCAAAATTTGAAGAGATACCATTTGGAAGAAGTATTTAACTCATTTTCTATAATCCAAAGGGCACAGAAGGACCAATGAGTACAAGTTACATAAAGGCAGAATATAATTCAATACACAGAGACCTTTTTACAAAGTAGAAACAACCAGGATGGACGGGGCGTGGGGGCTCACGCCTATAATCCTAGCACTCTGGGAGGCCAAGGCGGGTGGATCGCTCAAGGTCAGGAGTTCGAAACCAGCCTGAGCAAGAGTGAGACCTCGTCTCTACTAAAAATAGAAAGAAATTAATTGGCCAACTAAAATTATATATAAAAAATTAGCCTGGCATGGTGGCGCATGCCTGTAGTCCCACCTACTTGGGAGGCTGAGGCAGAAGAATTGCTTGAGCCCAAGAGTTTGAGGTTGCTGTGAGCTAGGCTGACGCCCAGGCAACAGAGTGAGACTCTGTCTAAAAAAAAAAGAAACGCCAGGATGATATTGAGCTGATAAGGCAGAAAATAATAATGACAATAATAATGACAATAATAGAAATAATTATAACAAGAGCTAATATTTATTATGCTTCTTTAAAGCAATTTGTATGTATTGTCTCATTCAATCCTTATACCAATATAATGAAACAGGCATTCATATTTATTATCCCCATTTTATAAGCGAGGAAGCTGAGGAATAGAAAGTCACTTGCCCTAGTTCACACAGCTAAAGAGACAAAACCAGAATTCAAACCCAAGTACATTTCTAAAACCTATACGCTTACACATTCTATACAATTTCCCAGAACTTGAAAGATCCAGAATGACCACAGAAGTTTCACAGACTAGGATACTGGTTCAGGCTGAATGTATCTTCTTCTTGTAGGTCGCTTAAATAATTTATTGAGACCTTGCAGGTCTCACCTGAATAAATGTAATATGTAAGAAGCATAGTCCTAGAAGTATATGTTAAATATGAGTGAATAAAGAGAATAAAAAGACAAGCCACAAATTGGGAGAAAATATTTGCAAAACACATCTGATAAAGGACTCGTATCCAAAATACATTAAAAAATTCTTAAAACAATAAAAATAGACAAAAAGATGGACAAAAGATCTGAAAAGATAACTCACCAAAGACATACAAATGGCAAATAAGTATATGAAAAGATGTTCAACATTATATGTCATTAGGGAATTGCAAATGAAGCCAAAAAGAGACCAATTACACACCAATTAGAGTGACTAAAATCCAAAATACTGACACCACCAAATGCTGGTAAGGATGTGAAGCAAAAGGAAGTCTCATTCATTGATGGTGGGAACACAAAATGGTACAGATTCTTTGGAATAGAGTTTGGCAATTTCTTACAAAACTAAACTTAGTATCTACCCAAAAGAGTTGTAAACTTACATCCACACAAAAACTTGCCCACTAAGTTTATTTTCATAATTGCCCAAATGCGGAAGCAACCAAGATGTCCTTCGATAGGTAAATGAATAATAAACAAACTGCTATATACCCATACAATATTCAGCAATAAAAAGAAATGAGCTATCAAGCCACAAAAAGACATGGAGGAACTTCCAATGCAAGTGAGAGAAAATAATCTGAAAAGGCTACATACTGTATGATTCCAGGTATATGAGATCCAGGAAAGGCAAAACTAGAGACAGTAAAAAGATTAGTGTTTAGTAAACATTTTGGGGACATCAGGAGACAGAAGAACAGGTGGGATACAGAGTATTTTTTAAGTTAGTAAAACTATATCTGTAGGATATCTTTATGATATCATAATACTTGATATATATCACTATACAATTATCAAAACCCACAGGATGCATAACACAAAGGTAACACCTAATGTAAACCATGGAGTTTAGTTAAAAATAATATATTAATTGATTCACTAGAAGAGAGGTGGTGAGCAAGTGTATGAGAACTCTGTGTACTTCTTGCTCAATTTTTCTATAAATCTCAAGCTGCTCCCCACAAATGGTTTTCATTAAAAACAATAATAAAAGTTTTAGATATCTGTAAGCTCAATATGTGTCCACTATATGACGTAGCAGAAAACTGCTAATTAAATCATATACTATGATGTGGTGTGTAGTAGAAGTTCAGAAATTGATAGCAAAATCTGAATTTAAGTCTACTATTACTCTGGTATTTACTGTCTTTCCTTTGGTAGGAGCACTTTGGTAGAGAGGTCTTTTCCCTAATGAACTGGACAACAATGTAAGGACTGAAAAGCACCCAGTGTCCCAAAGGAGATTCAAACATCTGTTGAAGGTTTAGACTATGTGATCTCCAAAGTAGCTGCCGTAAGAGTATGTCTAGAAGCCTATGAAATACATTACAGGATACAATGTTTAAAATGGGTATTTAAAGGAACATAGAAATAAATATATCTGTCAAAATAATGAATCAAATGTTCCATAATTTCATTCTCAATCAAAAAGACAGAGCACTATGCATCAAAAAAATCTTGCCAATTTACTTTTTTTTTTTTAAATCCAGAAAAATCTTACATTTAAAAGTAACAGAAGGGCCTTCAAAAGGTACAGAAAACAGTATGGGCTAATTTGCCATACAAAGTTTAATTTTCACCCTTTCATTCAACTACCACCCATAGAAAGAGACAAATTAAAAAGTGAGGAGGATCCTGTTTGGTGTCATTGCTGGTAATAACTTGTGAAAATGCTCAAAGGAATGAAAAAAGAAATGTAAATTCTTAAATCTCACTAACGGCTACACCACAATCTCTCTTCCCCAACTGTTGAACTGGACATCATTTACCCAGAACAAGTTTTCTAAAATCCTTTAAAGAAGTTAAGCTTGTGTTCAGCAGCTGCATTCTGTGAATACTTATTTGTTAAAGCCAGTCAAGGAGATAATCAAGGGTTAGGAAGAAAGGAATTAGACATAAACTTTTAAAACAAATCAGTGGTACCTATGCTTCTCTGCTTCCAATTCCAGACAGCCCTGTAACACTTTTCTTTTCAGGCTCCCCACAGCTCTCTAACATTCACACCTGCAATTTAGATCTTCAAAGGAAGAGGCAACAGAATTCATTTGCCAATCCAGAGATTTCTATAGCAATACATATGTGGTAGACATTTAAAATTATTGGCCTACAAACGCTGCTTAATTAGCTGAAGATCATCCTCTTCCTTCATAAAGCAATAAGACTCTGATAGCATTTTTCTCAATATCCTTGTAATTTTTCATAACTGTATTTATTTCTTCAGCTACAGTTGTGAATTCTGTTCAGCAAAACTCAACTCCTTTTTAACTGCAAATTCATGTCTTTATTTTTTTGATTCTAGTATCTATTTACTAATATTTGCTTTTCCCAGTGTAGTATTATGTTAGAACAATAATAATAGCAACAATAGCAACAAGAACAAAACTTAGTTGGGTTTTTCCATTTATTCCACACTCAAATGGTCTCATGGTTTTATATTTAATACCTTTGCTAAAGAATGGCAAAATCTCTTATGTGATATTGAAGTTTTTAGAAATAAGAAATCCTATGGCCATCAATTCTTTATATTTTCACTAGCTTTATTGAGCTATAATTGACAAAACTGTATATATTTGTGATATACATGATATTTGATATGTGTATGAAAAGATGATTAAATCAAGCTAATTAACATGTCCAGCACCTCACATACTTGTTTTTTCAAGTGAGAACACTTAAGATCTACACTCTTAGCAATTTTCAAGCATACAATACATGATTATTATAAAGTTATCATGCTATACAATAGATCTACAGAACTTATTCTAAGACTAACTGAAACTGTCTAACTGAACCTTTGTCACCTTTGTCCAACATGTCACATTCTCTACCCCTTGCAATTCTTTATGATAGTCTTCATCATCTACGTAAACCTAATGGTGAAAACATTTTTAAGAACTTGCTCTAGTCATTTTAATTTACTTATAAATTAATATGTACTATTATAATACAATATATATAATCACAAATTTTAAGAGGAAGAGACAAATATATGTTTGTATACATTAGAAATTCTGGTGTTTTCTTCCATCACCTAGGAAGAGTGTGATAATTACACTTTGATGACCACTGGTCATCTAAAAGAAGCCCATAAAAAATATCCATTCTAAGCTTTTATCCCATAGTTCAACTAAGACAATTAAACATCTTCCCCCTATTTAGAGTCTGCCTTTCAACTTCTTGAAGCTCTTTTTAACAAAATAATTCTTAAAGCTGCCTAATATTCATTAACTCATGAACTAGAAGGCCAAAATACAGTCTCAAGAAGCAATTTTTTTTAAGCGAGGATGGTTAAGATTTGAGCCAAAGCAAAAGTCTGTGTGTGTATTTTGTGTGTTTGCATGTCTTTAATGAAAAGGAAGAATAATTTTCACATGAAAAAGCTCATGTATAAGAATCAAAGATTTAGTCAATGTCCTACTGATTGATCATTTTATTACTATGTGGTTACATTATTTATTTTAATGACTGTATTCAAATGAACATATTTTAAGCAACCATTAAAGAACCTAAATACTAAACCAAGCATCTTTCTTTTCTTCCAATAGAATAAAAAATGCAGAGATAACCAAAAAAAATGTATATATTTCACTCTGCTTCCATTAAACAATTTAAGAAAACAGTTATTAAGCACACTTCCCAAGTACAAACAATGCACTAGGCAACAGTCTTATGCAAAACCTGACAACTAGAAAAACCTAACAGCTAGAAAGGAACTTCAAGATCAAAGCCAAACACCCAATCATTGCTTAAATCTGCTCTACAATAGCACCACCAAGTGGCAGTTTATGCAGCCTGTGTTTGAACACCTTCAGCAATAGGCACATATCTTAGAAGACAGTCTACTGCATTTTCTGACACTTCTAATTATTTAAAATAAATAAGATTTTGTCTAGTAATAACTTTACTGGCCCTATTTTTTTTCTTGGAGGCCATATAAAACAAACTTAGTCATTCTCCCATTTGACAGTCTTCCAAATATTTTAAAATAACTACTATAAACCTCAACTTTTCAACCTAACTTAACTCAGCTGTTTCTCATGTGCAGTTTTAAATTTTTTTCTCATGACAACTTCCAAGAAGAAATGCAAGCGTAAGAACCTAATTCTTGAAGTTACAAAGAAAATAATTTGCAAAACTATACATATTCCAAGTTGTAAACTTTAAAGCAACAATTTAAATATAGTGTCTTGAGCAAACTTATTTATAAATAAATCTGTAGGGAGATAACTCATTAACAATAGGGATTTGTTTGATATTTTTAAAATATTTTCTATGTATTAAATAACTTCAACAAATAATTTTCATTTTTTAAATTATAGCACAAATGGCCAACTTAGAAAATGTATATAAACCATTATTATTTGAAAAGCAGCAATCTCTGAAATCTTCCAGGAAATTAACCTAAGATCTCAAGCTTGAATATGTGAGCCTGCATTGATATATGCACATGCACATGTGTAAATACACACTGCTGTTCTAAAGGGTAAAAGTATAAATGATGTTTCTTATACAACTGCCCTCTGACTGAAATGAATGACTAAAGAAACTATATCTAACTGAAGAGTTTCTATTTTACTATAGTACCAATCATTCAACTGATTGACTATATTTACATATAAATAACATTTTCACAGCAAAGACAGTATCTTTTATTAGTCCATTATTAAAGTATGGTGGAAGTCAGTGTACAATCTGGTATTATCTTAGCACTCCCCATTTCATAAATGATATTTCTCCCATCCAAATACTAACCAGACCCGACCCTGCTTGGCTTCCGAGATCAGACGAGATCGGGCTTGTTCAGGGTGGTATGGCCGTAGACCATAAATGATATTTCTTGTCAACAGGGTGAATGCTAGTACTAGACAATGAAATGCCAATTTCAATTTAATTCAGTTAATACTTGAGTATTATTCACGTAATACTTGAGTATTTTAGAAGCTGAAAAAAACTGAAAATCTGATTTAAATAACTTGTATCATATACCAACAATAGGTCACAGGATAAGATTTATTTTATACTGAAACAGCAAAAAGAAAATTCAGTGCTGCTTTATATTTTGGTCTACTGAACAAAGGGTTACTTTAGTACTAAATAAGCTTCAACGAATTTTCTTAGATGGCCATGCCATAAAAATGACAATGCATTCACAAGGAGCATTATATTCTGCTTTTATTGAGCTCACTATGAGCAAGAAGAGCTAGCTATGCAAGATAAGTTAGAGGTATTAGATTTGAAAGTTATGCATGTTTCAGAGAGACACTACTAGTTCATTTAGAAAAAAAGGGAAAAACCTTTATTGAGCCTACCAGGATTTCTATTTCTTGATATACCTCAGCTTCTTCTTCAGTAACTCCAAGCAAGCTCCTTAGGGAATAGAATGAGTATACTGAAGTCTGAACCAGATAATAA